GGTAAGGGAATTTGCATCTTGTCTCTGCTGTCTCTGATATTATTCCTTGTGTCCAATATGGAAATTATGCGGACATTGGTTTTGTTGAAGGAGTACCTGTTAAGGACATGTGATGATTATTGGAGACATCTCTGAATAGCTTCTGAGTGGTGTCAGAGTTTCTGTGCTTTGCCCAGGCTGCTGCTTTGCTCAGAGTCTTCCTCTGTAGTATTGCACAGAAATACTAACAGGTGTATATTGGGAAAGCAACCAAAAAGTTTATGGGATTAAAAACCCAAGTTTGTTTGATTACTTCATTCACCTCTTCTATTCAGTCATACTTGTAGTTGACTTCTCCTCTGTACATACTATTTGTCATAACCACATCCACATGTAGACCAAAAGATTTTGTTTGCTGAAAAAGTTTCCCCTAGTCCAACTCACAATAAAGAGTTCTTCCATTGCAAAGAAAAATAACAAACAGTGCAGTCTTTGTATGAATTAAGTATATAAATGAATTGGTCTTAAATGTATTAAGTCCAGGCGAAGCCAATATGAGGCTTCAGGAGTTTGAGTTAGAGAACTCAACTTGCAAGATTTTCCATGCAAACTTAAAAAGATTTAAAAAGCAGAGACCCACTTCCTCTGCTTCACTCAGACTTCTGTAACCTTTACTGGCCTTTTAGCTTTAGTCAATGTTTTTAAAGCACTTTAGCACAGAACAACTGTGGATTTTGATCCCTGTCTCTTACAATGAAATGGTTAAGAAAATATCTCTGTGCAAGCGTTATGGACAAGACAAACAATTACAGGAACCAATGATTAGATTATTGTACATACAGCCAGTATAGTTGTAAGATTGACTTGACCCTTTAATCTACGACAAAAGCTCTTTTCATCACTTTTGCATATTTCTTTGAATATGCACTGAGCGGACATGATTTGAAGAGAAATGGTGTGCTTGAGTTTTCTGGATTCACCTCAAATCTCTGAGATGTTGTGGTGCTTTATTCTGCACAAGTTACAGCATGCAATGTGTCATATGATTCTGCTTTGTGCGTCACACAAACACTACTATATACTGTATGCAAAGAGATAAAACGACAGGGCTCATTTAAAGGCCAAGTGTTTCCCACTTGTGTAGCCTTTCTGAGGATTGATCTTGTCATGGATACAGAAAATTAGAGCGAGTGAGACAGAGAGCCTTTAAAGGAGCCAACATGAGTGTTACTAACCAGCTGAAGACCCAAAGCTCAAAAAGATAACCTGACAACCGTGTCCTCATCGTGTGTGTGTGTGTGTGTGTGTGTGTGTGTGTGTGTGTGTGTGTGTGTGTGTGTGTGTGTGTGTGTGTGTGTGTGTGTGTGTGTGTGTGTGTGTGTGTGTGTGTGTGTGTGTGTGTGGGTGTTTATCTACTCTTTGTGATTGTGTTTAGGTGTGCAACACTGAGACAGAGGGGGTTGTCTGTGTTTGGACTGGGGGTCATCTCTATTTTGACAGCGGGCTTTGACAGCCAGTAATTGGTTTCCTTTTCCATGCCACTCGAAGCTCCAGCAGAAAAAGCAATTTTAGGGGCCAATCAATTCAAATTCCAGCTCACTAACGATAGAGAAGCCTGTACAGCTTTAACCTCCCATCGCTGTCCAAGAGATAGCTGGGCCGATAATCTGCTCCTGTAGCCCCTCAAACCCAAACCCAGTTTACACACACAGGCACACACCCACAAAGGCACACACCCACACATAGACACACAGGCACAAACACTAACCCTGTCTTTCTCACGCCATACGAAGGGAAGGTCTCATTTCTGCCTTTTCTTGAAAAGCAATTAAGTGTGATAATAGAAGTTTATACTTTAAATGGTTGGGGTGCATATTTACCTGACTTTATCATGACACAGGGCGCATCTCTGTTCATGTGTGTCCGTGTTACATACACACAAACCTATACACACTACATTGTGCGCACAATAATGCTCCAATCATAGCACTCAAACTTTCACACTGGCATTAACAGGCATGCACACACAAAATTGAGCACACAAGTATACTTGTACAACAAAAATATATACAAACATGTACACACACACACACACACACACACACACACACACACACACACACACACACACACACACACTAACATACACACACACACACACACACACACACACACACACACACACACACACACACACACACACACACAGTTTGCCTGCTGGCTTTACCTCTCTGAAGGTAGGAAACACATCATTTAACCAAACTGGTCAACTGAGAACTAATTTCTCTTTTGTAGTTACTGCCTGAGGACCCTAGGGTTTGCCGACTTTATATTGGCAATCAGCAGAGCCCTGACTCTTTGACAACTTAGTTTGGATTTTGAACACTGACACTGATACCTGATGTACTGCCAGTGTATCATCGCTGTGCATCTGGACAAGAGAGTAGGTCATCAATCACCAGGGTGTTGTATCATATTAGTCAATGACAATGTGCATCCTCCATACTTTATTTGGTATTCTTTCAGTTACTAAGAGGTTGGCTTTATGAATCCATCAGCTATACCTATTTGGCATGAAACTATTTATTCCAGCAAAAACATTGCAGTCATTTAAATGCTTGTTGTCATTGTCAGTGAGGTTATTAGACACATTAGTCAGGCACATTGCCCAGCTTTATTACCACGTCGCTTTTTTTTTCCTCATTAAGTCGCACACTCACACTCTCCCTGTGCTCTCCACCTCGCCAACTTTTCCATCACCTCCAACTCCCCAAGCGAAAAAAAGTTGAAGCTCTCATGTCGATGGGGAACAAATGCATAATACCCTGGTGTCAAGGATCTGGGCCCATGGTCTTTAAGTTAGTTCAAATCCCTACACAAACCAATCTCTACCATTCATCTGCTTCGGGCCTTCTGTGTCTAAAGTTAAAGGTTTTTGGCAAGCAGTTGGCAAAAATGATTAGGGGGGGGGGGGTTGTCTATCGTCTCAGTCTGTCTCACTCTCCTTCTCTCGGTCTGTCGTTATGGTGAAAGTGGCTCGGCCGCAGAATCAGTGGCTTTATGAGCTCCCAGGCTCCTGTCACCGCCTCGATAGCTGTCACGCTAACACCCGCGCCGCTATCATTGGAGCACTTATGGGCCTGTCACTCACCTGGGAGAGAGGGAGCAAAGGAGGGAGGGAGGCGTCGAGGGAGAAGAGTGTGCTAAGGGAGATATGTAGAGGAGAGGGGAGACAGAGGAGGAAGAGGCGGAGCTCGGGATGCAGGGAGGAAAGTGAGGTAAAGATAAAGAAGGAGGGGGATGGGAAAGGAATTCAAAAAGAGAGGGGGCGAAGCAATTGAGTGGCATTAAATGATGAGGTCATCGAGACATGACAGATAAAAACTCAAAGGTTAATGTAAGAACCTGACTGGAGTCCCAAACACCTCACATGTAGTTAGTGTCCCACTTTCTCCTCAAGATGTGCTTCAGTGCACTTGACAACAAAGCGAGGGCCGTTAGGACATTAAAAAGAACCATCGATTGGCCGTACAGGACAATGTAGTAGGAGCTCCCTGAAATTACGGGCTTGAACAGCATGGTGTGATTCTGAGGAGGAAAAAACACATTGATAGCTCCAGCCGTTGTTCCATCTGTGGGAGGCATTAGAAATGGACACACACAAACACACATAACCATAAAGGTGTTCAATTTGAAATGCAAAGATAATTCCTAACAGATTGACATGCATCCACATTCACAGGCAAAAAAAGAGCACACATTTTTACCTATTGGTGAATATAGATCACATCAGGCTTCTATCATTCACAGCCACATACAAACACTCACAAACCCTACACTCACATACCCTACACACACACACACACACACACACACACACACACACACACACACACACACACACACACACACACACACACACACACACACACACACACACACACACACACACACACACACACACACACACACACACACACGCCTACATAATAAGGTCGGTATCAGGGCATCAGTGAATCACAGTGCCCAGCACCGTGGTTGACAGAGCAGGCTGCAGACACGTTCCAGTTTGGCCCTTCAACTGACTGCAGAGCCACTCAAGTGAAACTCTATTACAACAGCTTCTCCAGCCACGATCCATCAGCCGCGACACAACAGGCCGCGTGTCAGTGCACGGTGCACAGGCGCATGCATGTGCTTACAAAGACAGATTGAGGTTTCATAAAGTACAAGATTCCTGGAAGTGTTGCTCTTTATGTTGCATTCCTTTGACACCATTTTGATCTGCAAAACATATGACAGCAGTTGTTGCTGCTTTTTCAGGCGCCGTGTAGATCGTTATCAGATTACATCCAATCAACACCTCCGAGTGAGGCATGTCTTGCATGTTTTATCATAAAGTGGTACATTAAGTGACAGCTGTTGGAGTGAGACATTTGGGAAACTGAGGATAAAACTCAGTCAGTGACAGGATTTTATGCTATTCTTACGTATGATAACTGTTAGTCTATATTCATTATTAATTATCATTAAAGAGATGGTAGGAACACACACACATACACACAGGTACACCCAAAGGTAAAAAGTTGACTCAAATCAATTTCTCCATCTGTGCATATGCTACCTTTTAACCTTTGGATATTTAACGTTTTAACTTTATAAACTTAGGTTAAGATCTACAAACAAATACTGTGAAGTTGCATTCCATGAACAACTTTGTTCTTCAATGGTTACATTAGCCTTTGAAGACAGCTACTCACAATTAACATTTAACATAAAACTTGAATAAAGGGGCCCTATTATCCTAATTTTCAGGTTTCATATTTGTATGTTGTGCTCTACTGTGACATGTTTACATGCTTTACATTTTCAAAAAGTGCTTTATTTTTCTTATACTGACTGTGCTGCAGCATCTCTCACAAACAAAAAATTCTAAATCGGAATGAGAAACACAATATGGATGTGCTGTAAAAACGTACAAGATAATAATGATAAACATTTAATTTATTCGTGTCTTTCAGGCAACAGACGGAGATGCAGGCACTTTTGGGATTGTGCGTTACTACTTCAGTGACGAGCCAGACCAGTAAGACACGGCTACATGCTCTTAAACAGTCCGCACAAACACACGTTCACATTAATTTTTCATTTATTTGGCCACTAGTGAACAATTATACCGCACAATTCTTGCCTCACAGCCCAGCCGAGCTACAATGATGGCTGGCGTTATTCTCTGTGCCTTCTCTCTTCGTGCCACACATTTACAGAAACACACACACAGAGAAATACACAATCACGTATTCTGTTCTTCATTATCTTTAGAAAAAAAGAACACAATCAGTTTGGCCCTTTATATATAGTCTATGGTTTGGCTGTTTACATTTTTGTTTCCCTGTCTCCCATTACTGAGCATTCTTACTTAAGATGGTAGAGACACAGCTAGAGAAATAGCATTACATTAAAGTATTAAGTTACAATGACAAAAACATCTCATCATAACCCTCCACATAGTCTTTTGTAATAACCTGTCTCTAATTTCCTCTTATTTGCGTCTCGCAGGTTTTCCGTGGACGATGAGACAGGCTGGGTCATCCTGCGGGCCGCTCTGGATTACGAGCTGATGCGGCGCTTCACGCTGACCATTCTGGCGAGGGACGGCGGAGGTGAAGAAACAACGGGAAGGATCCGTGTTAACGTTTTGGATGTCAATGACAACGCTCCGCTCTTCCAGAAGGAGGCGTACGTGGGCTCCCTGAGAGAGAACGAACAGGCCGTCCAGCCGGTGGCACGCGTCAGGGTGAGGCGGGTTTAAAACAAGCTCAGACAAAGACTCAGACTACTCATGTTACTCAGCAGTTATCTGACCTGTTTACTATAGTGGATGTAATATACCCTGTGAACATAGCCCTGTGACCGTCAGTTACTTTAAGACCAGTATAAACAATAATAACAGACCAAAAATAAATGTACAACATTTCTAGACAGACATATTTTTTTTATTGATTTAAAGGGACAGTTCAACCCCATTTGGGGAAAAATAATATCCTTCTTATCTTGAGTACTTTTTGTCAATGTTACATTATTTTGGTGTGATTTGCCAAGTGTTGGAATGTTCTCTACAATAAATTGGGCTAAATAGCCCAAAAAATGTTTTTCAAGATTCAAAAACATTCAGGAGCAATGTCTCTTCCCAGAAATGATTACCCTGTTACTCAAGATAATCCACAGACCTTGTTTTTCTTTTCTTTTTATCAAACTTCTCCCGCCAACTGTTTCACTACGAAGCATCCAACTACTCATGGATGCAAATCTGTCCTTAACGGTGGGGGATGTTTGGTAGAAAGAAAATATTTCCTTTATGAAACCGCTCTAAACTGTATTTAAAAATACACTCATGCACATTAATAGGTATAACAAACTGCAAAAAGTCAAAGGTGCCTGCCATAATAAAGTTTATACACATTCACATGTACAGTACAGGTTCTCATTCATAACACTCCGTTCGATGTCTCACTATGGGATGCGCCTCAACGCGTATGCAAACAAAAGCATCAATCTCATTACGCCAATCCTGATTGGCTGGTGATCTTGACGTCTACGTCAGGGAATCCACCCACCCTTGCGCTACGTCGCAGCGTCATTCAAACACCTCTTCTCGCTTCAGAGCACATCTCGAATATCAGTAGCCGGGCTAGCTTAACTGTCCACAGACTGAACCACAAGCTAACTTTCTGTCGACGGGCGCTTGCCGGCTACTCTTGCTTTGCAAGAAGATTGAATTGAATATTAACACACCAGTTAATATTAAAATAATAATCTGCCACGCCGTTTTTTCTTTCGNCCTGGGCGTGTTCCAGCCCAAGGCAGGACGAGCAGACCTGGTGTGAGTCCGTGCCCGAGATCTTAAACCCGCAGCCGCAGAGCCGAGCCTCCGAGCCTCCGACTCCTCTGGTGTGAGGGAGAGAAGGGTCCATCCTCGTTTGCCGGGGTGTCGGCGCGGAGGGAAAAGCTAGTAAGTGGTATGTTACCGAAAAAAATCCAACCTTATAGTTTTTCCGAAAGGACAAAACGACAGGGTAGATTTTTCTTTAAAAAAATTAACTGGTGTGTTAATATCTTTCTTATCTCCGTCTCCTCTGGTGTGAGGGAGAGAAGAGTCCGTCCTCGCTCGCCGTGGTGTCGGCACGGAGGGATAAACTAGCAACAGGTATGTTACTGTTTGAAGAAAAAAATCAAACCTTACCGTTATTTCGAAAGAAAAAACTGCGGGGCAGATTACAATATTAACTGGTGTGTTAATATTTGTTCAATTCTTCTGCAAAGCAAAAAAGTAACCAGCAAGCGCCCGTCGACCGAATGTTAGCTTGGGTTCAGTCTGTGGACCGTTAAGCTAGCCCGGCTACTGATATTCGAGATGTGCTCTGAAGCGAGAAGAGGTGTTTGAATGACGCTGTGACGTAGCGCAAGGGTGGGTGGATTCCCTGACGTAGACGTCAAGATCACCAGCCAATCAGGATTGGCGTAATGAGATTGATGCTTTTGTTTGCATACGCGTTGAGGCGCATCCCATAGTGAGACATCGAACGGAGTGTTATGAATGAGAACTAGAGCATCACTCGAAGGTGGGCAATTGAATGAGTCAAATGTACAACTTGCGAATATTGTATAAGTCAAATTGCCAATTGCCATATTAAAACATCAGCTGCAATTCATGACATGAAGAAGGCAGCTAATGGANGTCTCACTATGGGAATGGGATGCGCCTCAACGCGTTTGCAAACAGAAGCATCAATCTCATTACGCCAATCCTGATTGGCTGACGTAGACGTCAAGATCACCAGCCAATCAGGATTGGCGTAATGAGATTGATGCTTCTGTTTGCAAACGCGTTGAGGCGCATCCCATTCCCATAGTGAGACATCTCACTTCATGTTACTCTGAGAACTGGGGTTACGTAAGTAACCTATAGTTTTGCTGCCCTCCTTCCATTTGTTCTCTGTTTCTCTGTGTTACTATGTTCATGCAGCAGTGTGTTTGTGTGCACTGTATCCAAGAGGAACAGGTCAGCGCGGTGTGTTGGCCATCAGTCACTGCCAAACAAAAGGCAGAGGTACACAGGCACAATGGTAACTAATGGCTCAGCGTTTCTTTTGATTGCGCCCCGGAGAGAAAGACTATTAAGCCCCTCATGGCAGCGGGTACAGCAGTGGCTTACCCCGCCACGCTGCACTCTGGCGCTTGCCTTTGCATTGTGGGAGCTGAGCTGATGACTGGGCTCAACGCTTGGCTCACTGTGTTTGATTAGTCTGAGCTAACCTTAAACGCTGCTGATATTAATACGCCGCCCGAGAGGACCAGGGAAGCCAGTCGCACAATTCTGTGTCAGCGATTTTCCCTCGAAGCTAATACACACAAACACACACATATACTCTGGAAACCAAAGAGAGCAGGAGGGAAAATACTGATATTGATAGAAGTAGAGGATATGTTGAGAGATAAAGCAAGAAAGTGCCTTTGCTTTATTCTTTTTAGAAACAAATCCTTCTTTTATGGTCCTAATGCTTTCTAACAACTAAAACAAATTTCATTTTCTCCCCACTTCTTATTCCTTTTCTTCCTCGCCTATTGGATTTGTTGCCCCCTAACTCCTCTTACCTTAGCGGTAAAGGACCGTCAAATATGAGACTATTTGTTGAAATTGGATATAGGAAGGCAGTCTGGAAGAGAAAAGCAACAGTTTAGGAAGTTGTGGGGGAAGAAAGGTATTGCTTACTCAACACTTTGGCATGGCATCAGAGAGTAGAGATATGCGTGTTGTGGTGAGATACAAGTGAGTGTTTCTGACAACCTGTCCAGCCTTTAATGATGCCAGTGAGGCCCAGTAGACTCTCCGCACAGCCGGAGGACTCATGTTCAAGTTCCTGCCAGATCCAGAATAATGAGGGGGTGTCATTATTGTTGTTGATGTTGTTGTGGATTAGCCCCACAAAAGCATAGCTTCATCTATCCTCTGCCATGCTTAGCTTGTCTCCTCTCGGTTGGTGTTCCTCCAGCATTGACGCCCGCTTCACTAATAGCCAGAATCAGCTTTAATCTGTCCAACAACATTCCGCTGCTGACTGACAACCTCCTGGCTCCACACATATGCACGGACTCACCCGCTCACATGCTGTGCGAACGTACACATATAGATATTAACACTGTCTACTGCAGCATCTGTCCCCTTACACTGCCTGTCCTCATGTCTCACTCAAAACTCTCTGCCCACCCCACAGGCTACAGATGACGATTCTCCACCCAACAACTTCCTGACATACACCATCACTTCAGCCTCGGCCTTCCTCAATTACTTCAGCATCGTCATGGTGGAGGGCTACGCAGGTACACTTACTTTTTGGAAACTGTCCACAATCTTTACTTTATATCTGGATAAGGATGTTTAAACGAGTTCATTTGTACAACTCATATCAGTGATGTTGTTAGGTTTTCAATGTCCCCCGAAGAAGATGGTCATTTGGTTTCCCCAATAAAACGAGTGTTTTTCAATCAATTGTATGTTAGATTTGATATGGTCATAAATAAGGTTATGTATAACAAATTAAAATCCTGAATCTAGATTTAGAAAACGTTTTACAAATATGATAGAATAACGCAGAGAGTCATCCACAGCTGAAATTAGTTTAGTTCTTACATTTGTAATCCTGATTTCCATACTGCTTCACTCAGTTCTTACAAAATTGTTAAATATACTGTATTTAATTAGAGAGGGACTAAAAAAAACATTTAAACCTCTGATTTTAACTTGTATAAAAAAAATGTACCGTAATTTTCGGACTATAAGCCGCACCTGAATATAAGCCGCAGCAGCGGCATACCACTCTCGGTTCCACTTTTACTTTTGCGCGCTACCTCTCTCACTCTTTTCCGGCCTCCAGCTTTTCCTGCTGGAACCCGCCGCTTAAAGGTGGGGGTCCGCGGACCGGCCATAGAGCCCATAGAGTTAAAGGTGTTGGCCGTTAGCTGTAAAAATCCATAGATTAGCCGCACCGTTATATAAGCCGCAGCGTCGAAAAATAGGGGAAAAGGCGCGGCTTATAGTCCGAAAATTACGGTAATTCTATGTTTATCTTGGTTACCATACCATTTGCTAAAATATTACGCTGCAGGTCGAAGGTAAACATAAACAGCCCAAAATCCCACTTTCTATTTCTATCTCTCCTTCCATCAGTCATCAGTGTGACCAGGCCACTGGATTATGAGCAAGTTCCCAAAGGGATGGTCTACCTGACAGTGATGGCTAAAGATGGAGGAAACCCCGCCCTCAACAGCACCGTCCCTGTCACGGTGGAGGTGATTGTAAGTACAACCCTGCAAAATATGCACGGTAACACTTTTAACATTAAACAACGCTTACTTGTTTTGACTGCTTTGTCATGATATGCAACCACGCCAAAAGTCAAGTAGCAGTGCAATTTTAAATGTGGAGTCAGCAGCTGCAGAAACAGAGCACCACCATACAAGGACATTAGTCTTTTTTTCATGACACCTCTGTCATCTGCAGAACACTTTCCACCAGCCTTTGAGATTAAAATATAAACATTAGCAGTCTGCATTCATATTCCAGCTGTGAGAGAGCACTTTTGACAAGTGCTGCTTCTTTGTAAGTGAGAAACAACTCCCACAGGCTGTGGTCAAAAGAACAGCTCACCTTAAAAACAAATACTTGTCTTCTGTTCTCATTATAAATTACAACATCTGGTGTGTTAGTGGGAAGGTTGAAAAACACATTCAAATGTTGGATGTGTAGTTTAGGTCTCAGGAATGCTAATACATTTTCTCTACTGTTGTGTTTTATTGATTACATATCATTGTTACGTAAAACACCTATTCACAAGTCCTGCATTAACTTTAAAAAAGTTAATATTGATTGCATAGTATCACGAATAGCAAGTATTCCCTGTAGGTTGAAACCATTCCAGTGTCCTTGTTAATGTTGATGTACTGACAGCTGTTTTTTTTTTATGAATAGTTATGCTACTGACATGGATCAGGTGTTAGTTTAAAGCGGCCCTATTATGCTAATTGTCTGCCTCTAATGTGACATGCTTTAATGTTCAAAAAGCTCTTTATTTTTCTCATACTACTTATTTTGACCCTCTGTTGGAAATCAGAGCCCGGTCCGCTGTTATTTGTTAGCTGGCTGGCTCTGTTGTGATTGGTCAACCGTTTAGAGATGTCCCGCCCTTAGCGTATCATGTACAATGTGGTGCAGCACTAGCAAATAGAAGCGCAAGCGTTACATAGTGATGATACTATGTTACCGAAGTTAATAAAAGAGTCCACTGGAGGCGTTTCAGGCAGGGGGAGAGAAACTCCCTTTGGAGGGAACTTTGGGATTTTAGCCTTTGCATTTACATGCACAAAAACCTATATAATAATAATAATACATGGGATTTTTATAGCGCTTTTCCTCATGCTCAAAGACTGCTTATATAACACAGTACTACTACTTAGACCTCAGCCTCCTATCCAGTGTCATTTATCATCATTGTTAAACATGTTCAGTTCATGGGACAGTCTATTTCTCCATACAGTCCCTTTATAAACACATACATAGCTAATTGTTTATACAAACACAGTTTATTACATTATATACAAAACAAATAGATTGTCCTGCAGTTGACATAGTCGTACATTTTCATCATAAATAAATTTACTATTCTCCATATCAGTCAAATTATCTCTCGTTACCCGAATTCACTTCAAGGGATAAAAACAGATCCTTTTTTTATCAAGTCGCTTTAAACTTATGGTGTAATACTGAAGTTAGGCTCTCAGTATATGGCTTTTGTGTTTGATCATAGCCTTTCTGCAGGAATCCTATGCATCGTATGTTTTTTGGTTCAAGAAAGGTAGCCAAATAGTACAAAAAAGAAATTGTTTGTTGGTTGCTCTTTTCCTCTTAGCTGAGAATCTCTCCAATTTACACTTTCTTAAATATATCTTCAAGCGTGGTGTTTTTGCAGGAAGCATTTAATGACTCTCGGCACTGCAGCAGACACTCCCTGTGACCAATTCTTCACAGTATCCCCACATTCAAAGGCAACATCTCCAAACTTTTAAAGGAAATCTTTAATCATTTAAGTTCCTCTCAGATGTAACGCTGAAATGTAGACTGAGACTTGGTAGAGGAACTAATGTAGCTGTTTCATCATGTGCACTGAATACAAATTAAGATGTCTTCATATTTATTTCAATGCCGATACCAGTGTGTGACAGAGTCAGCAGCCTCGTCCTGACCTTCACTTACATATTGGATTTCACAATTGTTCCTTTCTCTCTGAATTATTCTAAGTTCCTTTTGATCCATGTCTGACTTCAGCTTTGTTTGCAGTTTTATCACACTGTGCCGCTATCCAAGCTTCCAGTTCAGTTGCTTTTGTCATTCTTATCGCTAAATGTCTTCTTTTAAGAAACTAGAGAAAGTCACAGCCGTGTTCATGAACCCACAGAGCAACAGAGATACTTTAATATATAGAAGTTGAACAAAATAATGAACTCTGCACAAGGTTCTGGGCTCTTATTCCACAAGATATTCTGTTGCTTGTTTGCCCAAACACTTGGTTGCATTCACTTGCACTTTTACTTTTGTATATGTCATGTTATTTGTCTTTTCTCATGTTTAAAAGATGTCATGATGTTGTGCTATTGCAGTCTCCTGTCTCATGGTTTCGTTTGAATGCTTTCCCATGTTCTCTACACTATCTAAGGCAGTGCTAACACCCTGTAATGCATGCCTGATTACAGATATGAATGTTTTCTGATAGTGTTGCTTTTAATTAGCCAAAGGCTGTGAACTGATCATGTCTGATTGCTCTATGCGACTGAACCAACATGTTTTTATTCTTACTTTATACACATGTATGACACATCAGATTCATATCAAGTTATATGCCATGTTTCATATGAGTTTGAATATTTCTTTGGTCCTACAATGACAAATTCATAACACTCCATGATGCATATTCAACCGCAGTTTTTTTATAATGTATCTTATCACTATAAACTGAATTTGGCATCTTTTTAATGAGAAGTCTATCCCAGAGTAGAGGACGAGAAATATAATAACAATATAATCTGCGTATAATTAAAAGTTTCCAACTTGATGCAATCCATCTAAAGCATTTGTAATAGAAATGTGTTGTACATCATGTACTCCAGCCTTTTTCAACAGACTAGGTGTTATTTTTCTGTATTTCAAATAGCGAACACGAATGTTGATCTTTGCTAAGATACAATAAATACGGCAGTAAAAAATATAATGAGCAACCAGAACTCATAAACAGCATCTCTACTGGCTCTCACGCTCATGTCCCCTGATGGAAATCCATTATGCAAGTAACTTTTAGTCATAAAAGAAGAAATGACGGAGTAGAATAGATGAATCCAGCTGGAATATTCCTGAATATTATATGCAAGGACAGTACGCAATATCTATACGCATCCTACATGAGGGAGAAATATTGTGTGAAAGAATGAAGGCAATCTGCGCTGGAATGCAAAAGAGATTGTGTATTCCTTCTATGTCTCTCTCTCTGTCCTCCACAGTGTCGTGACTCACACCACAGGGGTTTATCAGTGGCTGGCAGCATCACACACACACAATGCTTTACACCAGCGTAACACAGAGCCCCGATAGATAATGGTGCCAGTGACTGTTGTTAAAGTGTTAACATTTCTCAGCAGCTCACGCAGTGGGGAGTCTCTCTGCGAATAGCCACACAACTGGTTGAGTTGGTGTGAAAAGATTCTAATTCAACGAGTGGGACGTTGTGAGATATATATAAACGCTCTGAGGAAGGCTGTGTGACAGTGGATGCTGATCCATGCTGTAGTCATTCATCGCTGTCAAATTACAGCTCTTGATTACCCTTTGTTTTACGTAATGGCGTTACTAATAATGTTTGAAATGATTTTATTTCAAATGCGTCTTCATTTTGAATATCCACCTCAGCTTTTGTACGAATACTCTTCTTGTCCAGGTCTAGTTTTTTTTTATCCTGCATTACTAAAGCAGTGAATGTGATTAACTACATTGCACAGTTTGAGGCTATAAATCCAACTGGCCTAAGAAGATTTCAGTTTAATCAGCTGACTGGATTTGTCTACTACTGCTACGACAGTTTTACTGCTGTTAACATGTTGTTCTTCTTAATGTCTTGATTCTCAAATAGTGTAATCTCATTGCTCATTATAAATGGCCGACTATTCAAACAAAGCTTTTATGTTATGGGGAATCCATTTGAGCTGTTGTTGATGTTTCTACCTCCTCCAGGATGAAAATGACAACCCACCAGAGTTCAGCAAGCCGTCCTACATCGTCAAAATCCCAGAGAACATTATTGCAGGTGACTCACTTTACACTATACATTTGGGGTAACAGTTTAGCTTCTAGAAGGCATTTCCTGGTGCATGACCAAAACAGCACTTAAACACTCCAAACACCATGTGTAGCACATGCAGTCCCCTCTTACTTGAATTGCCTCTCTATTAGCATATTCCCACTAATGGCTCTGCATTCCTCTTGGGGGCATGTTGTTTTGTATATACTTTCCCTGGCCTCTTCCTCTTACTATCTTATTTGTTATGATTTTGCATAATGTTTTAAATTCTCTATCAGAATGCAGGATATTGGCTATTCAAGGCAAAATCACAGGCTGCTCTATTCACTCTCATGCATGCATTCAGAAGAGTCTTTTATCCCAGACAATAGATTAGCTTCCAGTCGCTAGAGGTAAATGAGATGTTTGACCGCCCCTTTCTCTCTCCGAGCTCCAGCATACGCCGGGTTCTTTTTGTTTCTCGGACCCGCTTTAAAGGAGCACATAGCTGAGCGGCTTGGGCCAGGGCTGGGGTTCAGGGGACTGTGGCTAAAGTGCTTGGCCCCGAGCTGCGGGCCTCAGGCTCCGGCAGCAAGGCTGAGCTCAGGGCTAGCCCTGCGGCTCTGGCTAGCCTCTCATCCCCCTGTCTGCCTGGGTATTGATCAAGGCTGTGCCAAGTATAGGCTGTGCCAAACAAGCCAATAATCCACTAATCCATAAACCCACTCACTGCCATGCCATGAGTTGAGCTGTGCATGGGGGCGGAGAAGAAATTAGCTCTCTGAATGCCATTTCAGTCTGTCTCTGCAGCTAGACTTCACATATGTATTCCATGACTGTCTCTCAGTTCACTTTTTTTTCTTTCTTTCTCCCCCTCCACGAGTTGTAACTTTCTTTCTGTCTCGCTCCCCTTCATCCCCCACTCTCCTCCACAGGGGCGACAGTGCTGCTTGTGAATGCTACTGATTTAGACGCCTCGCGGGAGTTTGGCCAGGCCTCACTCATCTACTCCCTGGAGGGCTCCTCTCAGTTCCGTCTCAACTCGCGCTCAGGTAGGGGGGTGTGTGTGTGTGTGTGTGTGTTCCTGCTTGTACAAGTGGGTGTCTTTTCTGAAGTGTACTTGTCATTGAGACAGATTGTTGGAGATCTGATTCCATTTATCTTTCAAATTAGATTTTTTGGCCTGAAAATGATTTTTTCATATCTGTGCTTATTTACATCAGTGTGTGAAAAACCCTTTTTCTAAATCCTTCTTTAGCTCTTTACTTTGCTTGAATGCACATCATGGCTGGGTTTATTATGACTTTGAACTAAATTCATCCTGACACGAGACAAGATTCTCTTTGTAAAAACATATCTGGCCTTCACTTGGGTGTCCTCTTTGTTGTATTTTTTTTTAATATGATGTGATCCTGTGTGTGTTTCAGGAGAGATCACCACCACAGCCCTGCTGGACCGAGAGCTGAAGTCAGAGTATATTCTGATAGTCAGAGCTGTGGATGGAGGTGTGGGCCCTCAGCAGAAAACAGGCATAGCCACGGTAACCAATGTATTTCTGATCCTGGCCCGTGTTCAATCAATTATAATTAGTTATAAAGACCTATTCTATCACTTTTCTATTAAATTATGACTTTCTTGCTTGTTGGCCACAATGATCAAAGGTCTTCTTATTTAGCTGACATCATTAATTAACTCCCACTTTCTTTAGGTGAACATCACCATCCTGGACATCAATGACAATGTCCCTATGTGGAGGGAAGATCCATACCATACCAACGTAGTGGAGATGAGTCCAATCAACACTGATGTTATCTCTGTATGTACACTAAGCCCAACTTTTTTTTAGATTAATGGCTGATGGTTGAGAAAATGCCAAATGGTAAGGTGTACAGTGCAAATAAACCGACCAGACTAATAAATATTAGCATAGAATTGATGGTTGCTGAACATCAGATTTAAATCATTAGTTTACTCTGTGATTTGATGTTATTACTCAGTTTGAAAACGTGTATTAGGAAAAGATGAGTTTTAATTAAAAATAAACTTTGTTCAGAGTGATCAACATTGGAAGGTCATTAAAGACATATTATACATGAAAAACAGATGCATGCGCACGCATAGTCCTTCATTCTCAATGAACAAATTGCCATAACTGCGTAGGTCATCACAAAGTAAACACTCTGATATTACCCCAAACTCTCTCATCGTCCTGCTGCTGTCTCTGGCAATGTGTTGTTGTTAATTAAGCCCTGATTGTGCATTAATTAAAGAGGCGTCAGTGAGTGTAATTAAGGGAGTCCGATTGCTAATTAAAATGTAGCCTGCAGTTATACGCTTAGCAAATGATTCAGCTGCTAGGCAGGAAAGAAGGCGAGAACCCATCTTGCAGAGCAGGAGAGAGCAGGATGGAGAAATGGTGAGGAAAGTGAAATGAAAGATACAAGCGTTACGCCGCTAAAACGTCGCTACATTTTACACTCGATCCTGATCTCTCGTAGCCATTCCTCAGTTGGGTCCATTCATGCTGCATCCAGTGATGCGATGCATAGTGTATGTGACTCTCAGTGCTCGCTGGACAGACTGTTGCCCCTCTGACCATTTTTTAATAAATCGGACCACCCAGGCTTAAAGTCCTGTAATTGGCCCCAATGTAGCCCTGGACCAACCATTGTTTCCATGGAGACAAGGGGCCACCTGCTGCGTTCTCCTGGAGGTGTCCAGCCAGGCGATGAATTTGGTGGCTGTGCCCAGCGCAAGGATCATCCCACCTAAATCTCTGTGCCCCCCTACCATTGCCGCTGCAGGCCTTAAAATTCAGCAGCTCTACAAATACAGTACAGTCAGCCTCTAATATCTCATTTCAAAACACTATTCTCCTTTCTGCCTCTCTGCAGTCAGGCAGGGGCCACAGTTCAATAGACAAGGCTAATATATTTGCTCACCATCTTTTAATGTGCTCCGCCCAGGCCAGAATTGATTAGCTCAACTGGCCCCGGCCCGACACTTCCACACATCTTATATCACCTACCTTTGTCTGTGCAGTTGCTAATCAATGGGCCTAGGAGATGCCTGCCTACCATGTCCCCTAAATAATTAAATACCTGCAAAACCTTTGTTCCTCTAATGACCAATTAACCAGTTTCCAGCGTTTTTTAGTCAGTGCACTGAATAATTGATCAGCTCTTTAAGAATCAGCCAGTGTTTTTGCCAGGCTCCCGGCTTCACGCATTCATCACCCATTGCCACTTTGTGTCAGAAAAGTGACGTTAACATTTTTCTTTGCGCTGACTTATGTGTTGAACAGTTGGAAAGTGTTGTGGGTGGAGAAGCTCTAGGGGTGGGATAGGGGTGTTCTTATTTCTGTAACAACTTATATTGCTGTTTCCTTATTGTGTATTTCCTCCTTCCTCCCCTTTTCTCTCCTTACATTCCTCTTCCGGTACCTATACTACACTTTGCTTATACCTTTAGAATTCCTATATACATTGCATTGAAAACATACCTCTGTGTTGGGAGTTTATTAAAACTTCACGGCAAAGAATATAAAGGGAGTATTTTCCTGTCTCTCATCTGTCCAGGTGTTAGCTGTTGACCCTGACAATGGGCTGAATGGGACAGTGAGGTACAGTATCAGTCCAGCAAACCCCTTCTACACCATCAGCAGCAGCACAGGGAAGATCCGCACCAGTGGGTTAACTCTGGACAGGGAAAGCTCCAACCCCAGGGACGCAGTACTCATGAGGACTATCATCATCTCAGCTGTTGACCGTGGGTAGTCTGTGTGTGTGCAGTGGGATGTCAATTTGCACCCGTGTTTGCCTTTTGCTGTGTAAATGTACCCGTCTCATGAAACACCTAAACCAAGTGTAAGCAAGATTAAATCGCTTTATGTGATCCTCAGCAGAGGGCTTTCAATTCTGACCGATTAACCTCTTTCTTCAAGCCTCATCCCTCAAGTTTTATGTTGACCATGAAACTTTTACTGTGGCTAATAAACCCCTCTGACCGTGAGATGTGGGGCGCGTGTGTCTGTGTTCTATGGCGCCCTCTTTAGGCGGTACACCTCCACTGCATGCATCAGTGAGCACCACTGTGTTTGTCAACCTGCTGGATCTCAACGACAACGACCCCACCTTCCTCAACCTGCCCTTTGTGGCTGAAGTGCCAGAGGGATTGCCCATCGGATCCTCCGTTTTTAAGGTAAAGTATAAGACTATATCCATTTCTGATGGAATTAAAAAAAAAGAAGAATTATTCCTCATCTTTAACGAGATTGACTTTTCAATAACCTTCTCTACCTTTCTCTGTATCTTTCTGCTCCAGGTCCAGGTGGAGGATCCAGACGAAGATAAGAACGGATTGATAACAATGGCGTTACAGATGGGAATGCCTCGCCTCGACTTCATCCTGAACACCTCCACCGGCGTCCTCTCCTCCATGGCAGTCCTGGACCGGGAGCAGATTGGACAGTACCACTTGAGAATCATTGCATTCGACGCAGGGAAGTTCCCCCGCACCTCCACTTCAACCCTCACAGTCACAGGTCAGAGTCTGCAGATTTGGCTGCTGATGATGATGATGAGAAGCTGAATTTGAATTCCCTTTTGCTCTCTCTGAAATTACCTTACATACTAAACTGCCAAGCCACGATATCATTGGATTCTGATATGGATCTGATATGGATTATGACAGATAGTTAACCACTGACTTCTCAGGAGTCTGCTGAGAATGAGACTACCACCTGCTGGTGGGACCTGAAAATCCATCAGGAAAAGGAAATAAAAAAGGCAATGTTCAAACTGAATTTAACATGTTTTTTTCGAATCAGTCAGAAGCATCACCATATCCTGAACCGTTTTGGGTCTTAATTTTAGCTTCACCAGGAAAAACAGGATCGGCACCCTATTGCTACTAAATATGTAATATCCAAGTATTAATATTCCCTGCACCACCCTGCTGCCTTATTTGTCCTCATGTACATCTATCTGTGTGTCCACATGTCTCTCTGTCTGTGTGTTTGTGTGTGTGGGTCAGTTCTGGATGTAAATGATGAGACGCCCACCTTCAACCCCAGCGTGTACAATGTTTCCCTGAAGGAGAGTGTCCCTAGAGACCACATTGTATCACGCCTCAGCTGCTCTGACAACGACGCCGGCCTCAACGCCGAACTTAGCTACTTCATCACAGGTCAGAGGTCACAGTTGGAGTTGTGTTATGTCTGTCCGTGAGCTACAGTGTTGTACAGCTATTGGGAATATGTGCATGTACAGTATCTTTGTCCATCCATCCGTCTCTGTGTGAGTTTGTGTCAGCTGGGCTCCTCTTGCATGCTTCTTTTAGAATTAAAGCTGCACTGTATGTATGTGCATTGGCATATTTTACTTATATTCTGTAAATTAATTTGGAACCTATTTATGGTTTGTATTTTTAGGTGGTAATCAGGATGGCAAATTCAGCGTGGGCTTCAGAGATGGAGTAGTTCGGACTGTGGTTGGCCTGGACAGAGAGACCCAGGCAGCATATACTCTGGTAGTAGAAGCTATAGGTATGTCAGTTTTATACAAATCCTCTTTATTTTTACACATTCTGTGTCTGCTTTTGTTATGACAGGACTTGTATCATTATGTTTTTGATCTTCAAAGCTGCCCCTTTCGACTTTTGCACCACAATGATGTAAAAGAAAAGTGATGCATGCACATGTGCAGTGATTTCAGTGTGTTGCTCAACTGCCTTTGTTCCTAATTGAAAAGAAAGAACCAAAACTCTGAGGTTTTCCTGCTTTGGAAACCATTGAGTCAGGGTGGCTTATCTGTTGAGGGGGCCAGCAACACAAGGGAGAGGAGAAAAGGCAGAGATAATGTAAAACTGTGCAAGAGAACATGATAACACATTTTGTTCTAATTCACAAGAAAATTACCTGATGAGCCAACAATGTTCCAGTCTTGCCTTTTTACAAGCTAATTTTGGTTTATTTTCTCAAGATTAATGTATCTTTTAAGGTAACATATTACTACAGAGCCAGTTCCATTTTGTGTATACGTTGTAATGATGTATTTACGGCCTTAGCCTGTGAGATGTACAGCCATGAAATGAAAGCCAAGTCTATTTCCGTTGTCCTGGCGTCTACACTAAAATGTACCATTAACTTGAAGGATTGCAGCTGATGTGTTAGGGAATGCCTCTGCTTCTGCACATAGACAATGGTCCAGCGGGCAGCCGGAGGACAGGCACAGCCACTGTGTTTGTGGAGGTGCAGGACGTTAATGACAACAGACCCATCTTCCTACAAAACAGCTATGAGACCAGCATTCTGGAGAGTGTGACCCAAGGAACCAGCATCCTCCAGGTAGAAAACACACAAACACAGCTGAACATATTCAGTAACAAACTGCACTCAGCAGTCACACTTAAACATCATTTAATTTCATAACAAACACAAAGAATCAGAGTGGTATCTTTTGGCTCAGGTTGCATTTCTACATATAGTGCAGAGCTCTGCTGCAAAGAAAATCAATGCCCAACAACATAACCTTCTATAAAGGGTGACAAAATCCAAAAAGGGTAAACCCTGCTACAGTCACTTTTTGATTTGATTTTGTAAACACTTGTTTAGTTGCAAACCTCGTCCAGCTAGCATTCAAAGTAAACACGTTATCTTCATGTACTCTTCACCCACAGCTGTTATTAGTAATGTTTAGCACCATCCATGAGATAGTCAGTCAGTCCGTCCTGAGATCAGATTTCAGTGACATAGTCAAATAAACAAGGCATGGTGATATGGGGCTCCACACTGGCTTCTGGCTGTGCTGTCTGTCGGGCTGGAGTCCGGGCTGTGTTTAGGCTCTCGCGCCAGTGTGGCCTGCGAAGCGGCGGTCGTCTGAACGAAATGTTGTATGAACGCCGATACGATCCTAGTCTCCTCCACACCTTCAGCTGCGGCTCGCTGGACCCGTTTCCCCCGCAGGTCAAACTCTCCCCGCAGCTCGCCTCCGAGTCCCCGTCCGGCTCTGAGGGCCTGCACACTGCCAGGAAGGCGGCTAACCCCGCCAGCAGCAGCGATAGTCCCAGCACCACCATGATGGTGTATTCCGGGTCGTGGATATCTGAGGAATAGGATGGAGGCTGAGGGATGGTGGTGGTTGTGGTTGGGGTGGTTGCGGTGAAAATCAGACTGGACAGGGTGATATTTTCTGTGTAGGATGCCAAGGTGGAGTTGAAGTCTGAGACGGTGGTGTTCATTTTGTTTTGCCTCTGAATAAAGAAAACAACGCTATTAGATTACATCACATTTGTACATGTAATTTAGCTGAGGTTTTTATCCAAAGCAACTTATATTCACTACAATATCATAGACATGCCTATTAAAGCATTTTAATTTGGGTTTAAATATCTTGCCTAAGGTGCTCCTTTACTAGTTAGCCCCTTTAGCCATGTCCGACTGGAAGTTGATGTCAGGAGGTTTTGTGTGCATTTGTCTGCTTCTGTGTGTTTCTCTCTCTCTCTGTGTGTGTGTGTGTGTGTGTGTGTGTGTGTGTGTGTGTGTGTGATGTGCTGTGTGTGTGTGTGGTGTGTGTGTGCTGTGTGTGTTGTGTTGTGTGGTTGTGTGTGTGTTTGTGCTGTTGTGTGGTGTGTGTGTGTCTGTGTGTGTGTGTGTGTTGTGTTGTGTGTTGTGTGTGTGCTAAGACCCCTTTGTAAGAGTACCACAGCAGCTCTCCGCGTCACTAGCCAAGCCTCACCAAGCTGAGTAGGTTTATTTTCACTTTATTGGGTTCGTACTCAAGGGCTAATAATAAACATGCACAAATGTACACAGAAACGCTCGCATGCACATGCAGATACGTTGAGTGTTTGGCATTTGCGGCAATTATGCAGCTATTAAATCAAGGACTACAAAACAGTCAATGCTTGACAGGCTTTCTTCAATGTAAAACAAATTGGGTTTATTAAAATGCCCCTTGTAAAATGAAAAGCACCCACCTCTACTACCCCGGTCTCCAATTATCCCCCCCCCCCCCCC